CATAAATCAAGCCATAAATTCCCAATTTGCTTGATTTTTCTACACGGTATCAGTTTTAAAGTCAAAGTCAACCATTGAATACAAAATTAGGGATGAAGGATCCTAGATCTTCCCAATTGCTTGACTGTTCTATGTGGTTTCTTTACCCAATTTAAAAGTTGAAATCCCTAAATTCCCAAGAAAATCTACAAACTTAGCATATTTGAAGCCCAACCAAAATGGGCTAAAATCCAGCCCTTATCTACAAACTACTTAATAAAGGGCCCATCTATCCTAACTAGCCCATTACATCCCCCCATATTGCCTTTTGGCTTTCAAGGAGTTGCTATCTGCTGCAAACACCGTAATTGCAACGTTGGGGCTTCATTCATGCGCTCCTCGCACTCTTTGCCTCTTTGGTTAGTTTCTACGTGCGATCCTCCTCCACCAACAATATGATTTCCTCCGGCCACCTTCATCGTCCACCATCTCCTCCATTTCCTTCTCCGATCTCAACACCACCAAGGTATGCATATATCTCCCCCTCCCCAATCCTAATTATCTCATTTGAAAATTGAAATTCTTCCGTTCATGTTAGTTTTCTTCCTTTTTTACCGTCTACATTTTCATTTTTCATGTGAGCTTTGTTTTAATTTTTTTGTCTACTTTGAGTTTGCTTGCTGTTTTATGTTTGTTTGTTTATTTGGTTCTGTTTGATTGATGAAAAAATGAAGGCAAATCTCCATGGAAAATGCATCTTAATGCTTTAATCAGTTTGCTTAATTTTGGAAAGTAAAAATAAACATGTATTGGGCACGGATTATTTTTATTTTTATTTTTATTTCCTTCTAGTTGAAGTTTTAAATTATGGAGATAGTGCATAAAGATTTTAGTTGCTGTTTCTTTTGTTTCATTCATTTAGAGTGACATTTTCTTAGCCAGCTGGATAATAGCATTTAACTTATTATTAAGGAGTCCCAGGGAGATGAAGGTTCTAAAGCTCTGAATTGAGCATTCTTAAGGACATATAGAGATTGCACAGGTTGGCATAATTAAAATTGAACAAGATTGTATTGAATTGGCGGCAATGGTACAAATTTTGGAATCAAAGAAATGACTGTAGGAGTTTAGTTGCAAGAGTAACCTATTTTGGATGTTGTATGTATGTCTAATTAGTGGGCTGCATTGTGGTTCAATATTAGGATCGGGCTAAATTTATTAATTCACTCTTAAGCTGATTTAATTATGGCACTTAATTCTAAATCAATATTACCAGTCAGTTCCAACTGAAAGACCAGTTTTGTATGAGTACGGAATCTTATCCCATAACTCAATATATCTTGTGGTTTGGATTAGAGTGGTGATGCTTAGAACTAAAATGGGGCATTAGAATTTCTCAAAAATTGAACAAGCATGATTCACAGACATGGATAGAATAATCATGTAATATAATCTACTCTTATAACATTATTCATAATTAATGGCATTTCAATATTCATAACCTTCAATTTTTCTTGTTGTTTATTATTCGGTATATATGACTTTCCAATTAGTAGCAGAGTCAGGCTTTTCAATCCATACTCCATTAAATGCAGTTAAGATGACAACATTTACATAGATAATGCACATAGTTTTCTGTGAAAAAAAAATCAAGAAATAAGCATGAAGAAATATTGTTTTCTATGTATAGTTAGTGGGTTGCATTGTAGTTCGTGCTTTGCTGCTTGCTTCTTATCAGGTATATGTGATGGTTGGTCCAGGAAAAATGAAGATTGAAACAAATAATCAAGAGATATGTCAAGAGTTGGAAGTATCATTTTTAGCAATTAAGAGATTATGTGGTGGTTGTTACATTAGTGTCTATTTTGTGATTTGAGTTCTTAATAGACTGCTTAATACCTATCACATATTATATTACTTTTACATTTAGTTACGTGGCTTATTAATCTTCTAGGAGGTTTTGGCATAATTTTCAATATACTGAAGTAGACAACTCTTTATCTATGATGGAAGAGTAAATAACTAAATATTACTTTAAGTTGTGCAGAGAAAAACTATCATTTTTTTATTTTTTTATATGGTTCTGCAGTTTTTTTTTTTTTTTAGTCATTTACAGATGTAAGTAAAATAAATATGGTCCTGCCTCTAGAAAGTTTAATGGACCTTTGAGTTGTTAAGTTTAATTTTGTTTCAATAATCTCTGTAGGCTGGTCTTTGCCTTTTTTGCCTTTTAGAGAAAAGATATTCATATGATTCCATTTCTCTACTTTTTGTTGTCTGCAGTCATAGCAACTATAATATTTTTACATAAACTTACAATCCGTAGGCATTCATTATATGGCACTCTATTTATATGTTTTGCCTCTTTTTTCCTTGCAATTTCAATGGGCTCCCCAAGCAGGTTTAAAGTTTTGCTACAATTTCTGCAAATGTTGTTCATAAATTTTTTTCATGATTACATTCATATGCTTTTTGCCTTTTTATCCTACAGATGTCTGGCCGACAAATACTTGGTAGGTAATAATGCAGTAACCCATTTGCAAATGGTTAAACTTCCTGTATAATTCAGTGGCTTATCTTCTTTCCATGTTGTTATTGAAAACAACCTTAAGCTCCGGATCTTTTTGTCTTGCACTTTCCTTATCCACTTTTTATCTGGCATTGTCAGCCAAGCTTACATTCTTCATCCCAGACCAAGTTGTTTAAATTATACAAAAAGATAGAGGTTTGCACATCATCTGGATATGTGCAGAGGAAGAATCATCAATGACATATGGCTTGTTGCATTAATGAGCATCCTAGCTGTTTGAGCAGTGATTGTGAAACTTGCTTTATATCTTCACATACAGGTCTCTGTTTTTCCTCATTCTTTCCTCACTTTAAAATAGAATTGACTATAATATATCATTTTAATAGAATAAGTAACATCGGTTGACCAACGAGTGGTTGGATCAAGTGGTAAGCGGCTTGTTCTAGCTTAAGCAAGGTCTCGAGTTCAAGTCCTTGTGTATGCAGCAACCCTCGCTGGGAGACTCACCCACCATTTCCAGGTGCGCGACGAGGGTCGGGTCCGGATTAGTTGGGACGAAGCCCCGGATACCAAACGGGAAAACAAAAAAAAAAAACATCGGTTGTCCTAGGTACTACATTCTATTGACATTTTATAATATATTCCTCCTAATAATGTAAGCAATTCTTTCAAGGGTTATCCCATGAATGCATCACCTACACTGCTTAACTCTACTTTTCTGACATTTCCAGACCCATGTACTTAGAGGACTAGCTGGCATTTTAAAACCCCTAATTTGTGCAACAGCATTGATGGACTGTTGGATTATGACCATTACTTTGGCCACTTTCCATCAGGTTTGTTCTTTGTACTGTGTATTAGCTCAACCAATGTGAGTTGGTCCTAAGGTCATCCTCACAATACTTTTTAAGATTTTCTTGCATCTATTAGCACTTATAAAGATCCTTTGAATTGATAACATCGTGAGAATGTTTGTGATTGTATTACTTGAAAACTAGTTAAGAGGGGGTTATTGGTCTAAGGCATTTGAAACTTTCTGTTATTTCAGTTGCCACTATAGTGAGATAGAAGAGGTTTGCATTGGTTGTAGCAATGTGCATCCTAGCGGTCGGAGCAGTGATTTTGCAACTTGCTTTATATCTTCACATAGAGATCTTTGTTTTTCCTCATTCTTTCCTCGCTTGAAAATAGAATTGACTATAACATATCATTTAATAGAATATGTAACAGATTTAAGTAACAGATTTTGTCCTAGATACTACATTCTATTAACATGTTATGATATATCGCTCCTAATAATGGGAGCAGTTCCTTCAAGGGTTATCCCATGACTGCATCACTTATACTGCTTAACTCTACTTTTTCTGACATTTCCAAACCCATGTACTTAAAGGACTAGCTGGCATTTCAAAGCTCCTAATTTTACAACAGCATTAATAACCCCACCCATGAATTAGACTACCAAAAAAAAGAACCGTACAAAATTACAATTAACTGCTTTCTTTGTTTTCCCAGATTCTTCTCCTTCCCAAACAGGTTGATTGATGCATTAGGAAGGTACACCCATCACCCATGGGTGGAGCTTGATTCTTGATTCTGCCAATGCAGGATTTTTCCAAGTGAGTCATTTTAATAATACCCTAACAAATTTCGCATTCAATGTAGTCCTATTCCATCGCATCAGAATGTTTTTTTAATCTCTCAGATCAACTTTGAATTATGCATCTGCCTACGACAACAATGCTTGATTTTTCTCAATGGGATAGATGCCTTAATGCCTCAGGTAATATATGCCAATTCCATTTTATTAGTTTCTGTTAGTGTTCTTTTTTGTGTGTCTGTGTGCGTGCAACTCAATTAAATAATCAATTGGAAAGAAAAGTACCCACTTCTTTGCGAATTTGAACACCAATAACACATGATAACACATGATGCAAATTCAGAGCCATTGTGACAGCTTGCCGGGGGGGGGAGGGATGAGAAGTGGGTTGCAAAAGGGGATGGATACCTCCTGTTGTTGTGTAACTCATGAATAAAGAAAACTCTACTTAATTAGGCTTCTCTGCAACCGTTCCGCTTAATTTTCATTTTTAATCAAACTAGCTGATTCTGATTCTGCCTCATATCATCATATGACGAATAACTAGAAAGCTCTGTGGAGTTGGTTTTCATTTTAGCATCATCTCCTTCAGTTGCATATGGATAAATTTGGAAGGGCCTAGGAGGCGTTTGTAAACTTTCAAGGTCCGCTTCAAGCATCTCCACCACTTTGTTCATCGAAGGAGGGTCACTTGGTTTCACCTGTATACACTACCAAGCCACAATGATCATTTTCTTCGCTATTCTCTTTTCATCTTCCGTGGCTTCTTTTATTTCCAGCTCCGTTCCTTTATTCAATTGTTGAGAAACCCATGTAGGAAAGTAAATTTGACTCGAATGCTTTACATATGGGTTTAAATTCCTTCTCCTGCTAGCCGTTTCCATCAACAACATTCCAAGGCTATAGACATCAGCCTTGTGTGGGACACCTCCGATGTTTCTATAAATCAACTGAGGTGCCATGTATCCTACTATTCCTCTTACTGCAGTTAGGGACACGATGCTATCTTTTGTTAGATATAATTTTGCAAGACCAAAATTAGATATTTTTGGGATGAAGTTATTGTCTAAAAGAATGTTGTGAGGTTTGATGTCAAAATGTAAGATACACATATCATAGCCTTGGTGTAAATAATCAATCCCACGAGCCACTTATAGAGAAATCTTGTACAGTCTTTCCCAACCCAAGGTTGTACTTTCTTCTCTAGGAAAAATGTATTTATCGAGAGAACCATTAGGGATGAAGTCATACACGAGTGCGGTTTGAACCCTCAGCACAAAAGCCAATAAGTTTTACCACATTGACATGATGAATTCTTCCAATTGTTGCTACTTCACTCTAAAAATTTTGACTTGTGACTTTGGATTTTCCCAATAACTTGACTGCAACAAGACCACCACTCTTAAGCCTTGCTTTATAAACTTTGCTGAAACATCCTTCCCCCAGTTTTACCTTAAAACCATTGGTCATCTTCTTGATATTTGGGTAAGAATACCTTACTGGCATAAGGTTATTGTTACTCTGCAAGATTTCTTCTATATAGTTGCACATAGATAAAAGCCTTCTCTGCCATTTATATAACAAAAACACAATGAAGCTTGGAATTCCAAAAGCAGATGCTACCCCATGTGGTACACCTGTTACTAGAAAAAGATATTTATTGATATAATTGGTTATCAAATAAAGCATCCGATAAATATTGCATGCTTCTCTTGGAGTTCTTAATATTATTTTCTTATAATCTCACATGTACTTGAATTTTCATGCTTCATGATTCAAGATGGTGTAACAAGGATAAATGAAAAAACAATAGCTCCTGAAGAGAAAGGTTGTAATTACCTAATACGAGTGCTGTGTAGATCAAATAAGTGTAATGCATGACCAAAACAGCAAAATATACCAGAAACCAAAATCAGAGAGAAGCAAGACATTGAATTTGCATACAGTTCACTAAAAAAAAAAAACCCCAAAATTAGCGAGTTGCATTTGCATATGTTTAATCAGCGAGCAACATATGTTTGTTACGTACCAATCCATATAGAAAGGTCAGGAGAGCACCAAAGCTCAAATCCATATGATAGCTAATCGTGAAAATCTAGGTAGGTAGTGTTGTTATCACTCATCCCTCTTGAAGAAGAAAGAACCATCAGCTCAATCCAGAATGACTTCTCTAATTCAAATGCTGTTGTTCTTCCAATCTTAGCATAATAATACCTTTTGGACTTGGAGTTGGAAAAATTAGTAGCACCAATGCAAGAGGAAGCATCCACATAGTGAATATAATTTATTGGCTTTCCACTGTTTAGGAAAAGAAGAGCTTCTTCAGAATATGAGTGATATGGATCACTGTATCTTCTGTCCTTATCAATGCCAAGGGAATAGAGAGGCAGTGAGGAACAGTTACCTTGAAGAACACCGGGATCCACAACTTTGATTATTGAGTGATTATAATCGCTTTCCTGCACATAGAATTTTGCTACATTAAGTTGCAAAATTGTGGTACTGTTCTCGCAGAATAGATTATACTTTAAGTTTCAACATTTGGGTGGATCGGTGTTTAATCGGAAAGGATGATGAATATTTAGAATATTGCCACAAGAGGAAGCTGGACATTGATGGCTTGCTTTCGCACTGCACTTTTCATGAGAAAAGGCAAGAAGAAGGGCTGCAAAGAGGAGCCCTGTTCTAGCCATAGTGACGCAAGCAGAGATGAGAAAGCTTTTACTCAGTTTAATACTAAATGGTGATGGAAACCCACAATTGTTTTTTTTTCTATCTGAGAACTTTGAAATTCAATTACGTAAATGTGCTTCATCGAATAATAACTGGGTTTCAATTTCGCGGCAAGTTCAGAAATGCTGACTATCGCTATTAGTTATTGTCCTATTGTGAAGAGTGAAACTGATGCAACCCCACAATTGAATTTTTTCACATGAGAATTTTCAAAGTCAATTGTGTACATCACCAAATAATGCCTAGGTTTCAATTTCTTGGCAAGTTCAGGAACATTGACTATCACAATCGGTTATTGTTTTATTAAGTCAAATGAAACTGGAGCAACCCTACAACTTATTTTCTCTACACCAAAAATTTCAAAGTCATAGTTGGCTTCTTTGCTGGCAACTTAACTCTATCTTTGGAATTCTCGCAAAAAATTTTGAGGAAATGAACTCTTGATACATGATTCAAATTGAAGTTTAATTAAGTTTTGAAACATAAAAATGAACTCTCGTGAATCCTCCGATTGAATTTATAGGCTACATAATTAGAGCTAATTCATGCACTTCAAAATATACACAACCATTAGGTTGCCAAACATATTAGCACAACACGGAACTCATTACCACATTAGTTACACTGCAAAAGGGCTAACCTATACATACTTTTTTTGCAACCATCCCACCTAATTTTCATTTCCAAGTAAACTAATTGACTCAGTCTCTATATCATTGCATGAAGAAGAACTAGTAGACTCTGTGATGTTGGTTTTCTTTGTTACAGCATCTTGTTGAATTGCATGGGGATAAAGCTGGAAAGGGGCAGAAGGCATTTGTAAGCTCTCAAGTTCTGCTTCAAGCATCTCTATGACTTTGTTCATTGAAGGGCGATCACTTGGCTTCATTTGTATGCACCACAAAGCTACAATGATCATTTTCTTTGCAATTCTCTTTTCATTTTCATTGGCTTCTCTTATTTCTAGCTCCATTCCTTTGTTCAATTGCTCTGATGCCCATGAAGGAAAGTAGATCTGACTTGAATGCTCTGCAAATGGGTTCACATTCTTTCTTCTGCTAGCCATTTCCATCAATAACATCCCATAACTGTAGACATCAGCTTTGTGAGAGACACTGCCTAAGTTTTTGTAAAACAACTCAGGTGCCATATATCCTAGAGTTCCTCTTGCTGCGGTCAAGGACACAGTATTACCTTTGACTGGGTATAACTTAGCAAGACCAAAATCAGAGATTTTTGGAGTGAAGTTCTCATCTAAAAGAATGTTGTGAGGCTTGATATCAAAATGCAAGATCTGCATATCACAACCTCGGTGTAAATATTCTATTCCATGAGCCACTTCTAGAGAAATCTTGTATAGATTTTCCCAACCCAAAGATGCAATATTGCCTGCTTTTGAGAAAATATGTTTATCAAGAGATCCATTTGGCATGAAGTCATAGACAAGGGCACGTTTTGATCCTTCAGCACAAAAGCCAATCATTTGTACCACATTGACATGGTGAATTCTTCCAATGGTGGCTACTTCATTGAAAAAATCTTGCCCTGTAGCTTTTGATTTGCCCAACATTTTTATTGCTGCGAAGCGACCACTCTGAAGCTTTGCTTTGTAAACTTGACCAAAACCTCCTTCACCCAATTTCTCCTTAAAACCATTGGTCATCTTCTTGATCTTTGAGTAAGAATACCTTACAGGCATGAGGTTGTTGTTACTTTGCAAGAATTCTTCAATAGAATTATACATGGATAAATGCCTTCTCCTCCATTTGAAGACTAAAAATATGATGAAACTTGGAATTCCAAGAACAGCTACTAGACCATGATAGAAAGCAACAATATCTGCAAAAAAAAAAAAAAATCAATATTTTTTGCCATAACGTAATATTGATTTACATACTGTTTTTTGTTTTTGGTGAAATAATTTAGGTAAAAGATTTATATATTATATTGTGTGTTCTGTTTTTTGACATTTGAATTTTAGAGTGCTTATATTTAACCTTTAAGACAGATAGATAGGCTTTGGAAGAAGGATCATTCTCAGACAGCAAGCATTAATACTTTACTATTTTTTGTGCTTTTGCCTTGTAATTAATCTTTGGCTTTTTGTTAATAATCAATCATCAGTAAATTGGTGACAAATGGGCAATCATCATATTCATGCTTCGTAATTGATCAATAAGAGGCACTTACTGTATGCATTTAATTCCAACAATGACATAAGAAACTTTGCATTAACTTCAAGTAATTGAGATTTTATGGAAGGACTTAATCGAGGAGATGACAAATATTTTTTAAAGAAATGATGTCAACTTATTGTAGTGGAAGAAATTTGATAAAAGAAAAAACCAGTTAGGTACAAATGATTGTTGTGAAAAAATAATATTGTTTGCTAGTAGTGATCATACGCATTTGGTTGGCGGCAACAATTATATCTCTCAGTTGCATTCATTTAACCAAATTTTATTCTTGCTTCAAATGTATAATATAATTGAACAAAATGTCGATTAGGGGTACTTACCAAGTACGGCTACAACTATAATGCTGAAATCTTCGTAAACTTGGTTGTTCGCTGCATGAAGTAAACAAAATTAGGCAAAACCTTTTGCCACTAGAAAATGATACGACCAAGAAATGAAAAGGCATCTGCACAATTGGAACTCAAATCAAAAGAATTTGTTTCTAAAGTACCTGGATAAGGAACACACTGGTTTTCCATATTAATGTAGGAAGGATCTGTCTCTCCACACGAAGCATACCTCCACGACAACGCAATTCCATATGCTAACCAATGGTGGATGTCCAGGTAGGAGAGGTTCTCATAATTCTTCTCCCGTATGAAAGCTTTAAGTGCCGATAGCTCAATACGGCATGAGGGTTTTAACTCAAGTGGAGTTGTCCTTCCAATTTTCACATAATAATACCTTTTGCCTTCAGATTTAGGGCTATAAGGTGTGGAGAAAGAGCTGTGATTAATGCAGGCAGGAGCTTCCACATAAAGAGGATCACTTACAAGATTTCCGCAACTTATGAAAAGAATGCTCTCCAAATAATCATAAGAATATCCAAAAGATGTTGAGAAGTCCCAGGAATATTGAGGTATGGAGCAGCTCCCCTCCTTAACACTAGCGTCAGCTACTCGAATTGTTTGATTGTCATAATTGATTGCTTTCACGTAGAATTTTCCTGATTGAGAAGGAAATACTGTAAGGTTGTTCTCACAGAATAGAGTATAGACTGGATCTGCAGTCATTCCGCAGGAATTAGGCGAATCTGTGTTTAATCGGAAAGGGTAGCTAATATTCAAATTATTTCCACAAGAAGAAGGTGGACAGTGACGTTCATCTTTGGCACTGCAAGTCTCATGAATTAAGGTGAGAAGAAGAAGAGCGACAAAGATGAGGCCTGGACTAGGCATGGAGAGGGCCGGGGCAAAAGGGGGCAAAAGGTGTCGGAAACTTTCAGGTCTTTAAACAGAGTCTAATGGTTTACAGAAGAATTACTAATTTCTTGGCCTTAAAATAACCACACACTCTCCACCTTCCAACATTTGATCACCAGACTTTTTATGAATTGAAGTTACATGATCACCAGATTTTGGACTATTATTTATTTTTATTTTTTCGAACGCGGAAAATCATCATCAATTAAATTGAGACCGTTGTGCCTGGCCCCAGTAATGACTTTTCTCGATGGTTTGCTTTTAGATGATGCTTAATTACGTTGCACCTAGACGTTCACTTTCTTGGTAACTTGCAGAGCATTGACTATAACAATCAACTTGAGAAGCATTTAATGATGATGGTTTCTTAGGAGTTTTTGGGTATTGGTGTTTGGAAATTTGGAATGGGTCCGGTGAATTGATTTAGGGGGTAGATATTGCTTGGCACGTGAATTCAACACAAAAAATTAAGAAGCCTAAGGAGCTTAGGTTTGGCGGATTTGCTCGGTAATTGGCGGAAGGTGTGTTTGGGTTTTTTTAATACGTGATTCATAGGTACAAATTAATGGTTTTTTTATTAATTATTATTGAAAAAATAAAAGTTAATTTTTATTTTTTAATACTAATTAATAATAAAAATATATATTAATTACATTTTAATTTATACATTAAAATATTTATTATTATTATTATTATTA